CTAATTAAAAACTTATGAAATAGGGTCAAATGTAATAAACCGATTATATTACTGCAGTATGCAACACGTTGTGAAATAAGACTTATTTTAAAGTAGTTGTATTTATCATCAGAAAATGGCGATCATTAAAAAATACTTAACACATTTAAAAACAAGATTAGAAAACACAAGATGGTAAATCAAATATCTCCCACAGAAGTAAACTGATGGTACAAAAAAAATTAAAAGTCTCCTGAGTCACTCCAATCGTCTCTTGGGTCACCTGAAAAGTTAGCAAGGGGACCAGTGACCCAGGGGACAATTCACAGTAAAATATTTATATCTGCGTCATTATCAGTCCAATCAATGAAACTCGTATTGACACGCGTATTAGACTACAATCCTGTTGTATTTCAGCTCAAAATGTGTAAAAAGTTCAAAATACTTACGATAGTACGTCGTCTCCCAGCGGAACAGCAAAAAACCAACCCGACCTCACTTCTGACCGCGGACCAAATGGCCGAGTTAATTAACAGCCACGGGGATCACGAACTGGATCACGTGAGATCTAGAACGCTTCTTGATTGGTCTAACCAGCCGTGGTGCCATTTTACTTCATAATACGATCTAAATGTTGAGTAAGCAAGGGGACACTAAAATCACTACTCTGATAGGGACGCATATTTAGGATGTAATTGATGAAATAAATAAAAAAATATCTTGATTGTTTCTACATAAATTAAGAACAATAGACTTTGTTGTTTATGATGCCATATAACACTTGTAGGTCGACATACATTTTTTTTACATCAGAGTTCGAAATGTAAAGTCAAGTTGTCTTATTTTTATGTTGTTATTTTTTGTTTTTAGGTTAAGTTCTTCTTTTATTTTTTTGCTTATACCTATTTATAGTATTTTTATTATGTAAGATGGCCAATAAAGGTTTTTCATTTCATTTCATTTCATTTCAAGTTGCTGTGGGGACAGCAGATTTTTGTATGGGACCCCGAAAATGTCCACTGGGTACCCAACCAAAAACACAAGAAATAAATGTAAATGTTCACTATTGATTGCTTAAGTTATTATTCATTGATCTAAGTCGATATTAACCATATAACAAATGCAGAATTTACTCTTTTTCATATGTAAAAAAATTTTTGAACTCCTGGGACAAGGAAAAACAAAAAAAAGTTGATTCACCCATGTATTCTATCCGTTACCCTAGTATCCCATAACACAAGCCTTACAGTGCTTACTTTGGGGCTAGGCTAACTGGTGTGAGTGTTGGAAATATTATAGCTATTAACGGGATTGTTACCATGTACCTTGTTTTTTATGTGTCTCCGATATTTCGGCACTGTTGCAAGTGCCATGATCACGGAGTAACTAAAGTAATTGCGGGTAGATGTTATTGGCAGACATATCGGTCTACCCTCTGATATCGTTTTTTACTGCGCTCGATATCCCTACCACTGGTCACATTCTCACTATTCACTCACACTTGTTCCCGACACACAATACTTACAGTATCAGATCACGGATCGACACATTTTTGATTTTTGCGGTTTTTACATACACGAAGCACTGGATTCCAAACATTTGACAATTTAAACCCATCCTCACGATTGAAATTCTTGTGTTTGGTTCGCTACCCTGATCAATCTTGGTATGTAGTGGCAAGCTCAATCCAGTGATTAGGACCCGAAACAATTAAATGTTCCTCGATGGCTGATTAAAGCTCATAAAAACAAGGTACATGGTAACAATCCCGTTAATAGCTATAATATTAGTGACCATGAAAGTTTAAAACAATATATGTTGGAAATATATTTTTATTTATTGACTTACCACTATTGGAATTTCTTTTTCTTGAACTGTACATTCTATATCATCTGCATCACTGTTTATCACATTAAACTTTTCATCCTTATCTTCTAAATTATCTTCGGAGCACATCACCATCATGAACACATCATCGTTAACGGTTGTTGTAACTCCGTCACTGGTTCGTTCGTCAATCACTGATTCACTGGAGTTTTCTTGTATATTCTGTTCTCCCTTATTATGGTTTTTGACTGTCCGAGGTAAAACCTTTTTCTTTTTCTTGACCTTTTTTATTTTCTCTTTCAATGTCTAAAAGAAAATATAGAAATATTTATTATACTTTTATGAATACACTTTGTTAGTAGTGATTTTCACATTTCTATATTTCAAGATTATTTTTTCTTCCTTTTAATTCTTTCCAGTGTAATTTTAATAATAATAATATTTAAAAATGTCCATGTGGCAGTGATGTCAACAAGCTAGGACATCACAAACTGTCATGCCAAAAAAGTGCAGGCCGCTTCTCGAGACATGCCGCACTTAACAATATCATACGCCGGTCCCTTGCCAAGTCTACTTGAGCCGACTGGTATTGCAACCGGCGATGGCAAGAGACCGGACGGTATGAGTTTGATTCCATGGAAGATGGGCCGGGCTCATTAAAGTAAGCAAAGACTTCTCATTAAATTCATAAGTAACTATGTAACACATAATTAATGTCTCTAATTAATTGTTTTGGTAACGACATAATTTTATGAGAATGATGTTACTTCTGTAAATGCTGATAAATTTCTTTCTTCTTGCCCGTTCATCTTATCAGCTAAAAGATGTCTTGAATGGGTGGTAGGAAAGAGAAGACGATTCAAAAGAGATTTCGAGAAGTTAATTTGAATAAAGTATCATTTCATTTCATTTAGCAAGTAGGTACTAACATAATATATTCAAAATAATGTAATTGTTTTTTGTGCAAAATAAAAAAAAGTATTGATAACAATTGCTTATTTAACTCACTTTTTTGGACTTCCTTGTTTCCCTTGCTTCCTTGTTGTTAACATATATATCACTTTTGTTGTTACCATAAATATCACTATCTTCTACCTTAACTTCATCTACTGACAATGGTTCCTCTAGGTTGTGGTATTTGTCTGCTCTCTCCGAGATGAAATTGTGATCTTCCAATGTGTCCTCCTCTTTCACCTGAATATCGGGATACGATATGTCGATGACATTCTGGATTTGTATGTGAGGACTACAGATTAAGGAACATTTCTTAGGTGGGTCGCTCTGTAAAAAAAAAGATTGGACATTTGTGTTATTGAATACTAAGCATACATTATAATAGATGATCCACGGGTCCATTTCAGAAACTTATTAAAAAAAAAAACAAACTTAAAAATTAAAAAATAAATATTAAAAATCAATGTTTGTAAACTTGCATGATGCAGTTGTCTCAGCAGCTTGGTGTAGGATCTCTTCACGAGCGTCTTGAACTCTCCAAACCGACGTAACATTGCGCGACATTCCCAACAAACACGCACGCAAACATCAGAGAAGTCATACACCTAAAAATATTAACATTAATCAGTACAAAGACACTATTATTTACTTTTGCCGAGTCCAGAATGACTATGAAGGTGCTGAGAATGGTAAAACTGTACTTTCTTGTCCCAGGAGTTGACACTTCACATTTTTTGTTAAAAAGGTCTCTTATTAACTTTTTTTCTGGGGCTTCGCTCACTCAGCTCGCGCGTTAGTCACAATACTAACGTAACCTAGTGTGAAGTGTCAAATCAAGGGCCCAGAAAGTACAGTTTAGCCCGGAGAACATTAACTATCATAAACGTTCTTTCAACTCTGATGCTTTGGGCATTTTTTTTGTTGATACAGTACATAGGAATCTTTGAATTAACGATTGACTAATAAAACTGATCTAGGATATTAACAGATTATTATAAATGCATTTATTAACAATAAGATAGAAAACTTACCGGTATTTCATTCAATATTTGAGAATACAAGTGGTAGTGTCCTGTTTCACCTATAAAATATAGATTTCTCCCAATACACAGGCAAGCGGTGCACATATCATCCATTTTAAATAGCAATGATGAAGCTACTATTTATTTATTTTGTAAAATTTGTATTAATTTCGATATTTTAGTATTTTTAAATTATTTTTTGTGTTAATTTTGTACGAACGAGTACAAAAGAAGCGTCCGCAACTGTCAAATAATATTATTTTAATTTTCCCGTTACTAAAAATCAAGGAGACCATAATCGTACAGCCTAAATGAAATGTATATTTTAGATTCTATAATCTAGGTTCTAGTGCAAGCGGTTAACAACTTTGCAATAGCCGATCATAGGATAGGTGACCAAAAAATTATTATCTGGAGCTCCCTCGTCCGTCGGAAAACACGTTAAGTTGTATTGGTCCTGGCTGCATCTGCAGTCGTTGCGTTGGTACTTACAATACCTAGCAATTCGCAATAGGTCCACGTAGTGATTCATTCATGATCATGACCCATTCTTTCTTCTATTGAAAAGGCCTGCAGTCCAGCAGTGAATGCGTGTTGAATTGTTGAAACACACGGCAATTTAACTCAAAGGCTTTCAAACTTTTACTTTTTTTTGTATCTCCCTTTTTACCCTACTACGCAATGCAAGCTGTGTGCAGCGCGATGCGTAGTGAGGGTATTGTGTTTATTAATATTGATTTTATTGCATTATAATGTACTTTTTATGAATGGTTTAATATTTTATTTACGAATTATGTATGAGTTGCCGGCGTTTGGGATATTTATGTGAGCCGACATTAACGCATCCGTATTGCTCTTTTTAATTCTTCGATCACCAATAGAGGATTTTATTTTTGTTTGTGGCTTTCTCCGTTTCACACAGAAATTTCGCTAATGTCCTGTAGTGAGAGAGACACGAGAAAAACTGCTTGGTAGAAACAGATTATAGCGACTTCTGTATAACCTAATAGAAGATTCAATTAGAGACAACGGATAGGATTGGATTTCGCTAGATAATTATGTCAATTCTAACATGCTTTTAAATTTTTTAACTAAAATAAAAACATCAGTTTCTCCTCTGAATTCTATTTGGAGAATGACAAGGATACCCTGTTGTCAAGTTTAGGTTTAGAGAATCATGCCAGAATCGACACTATTATCAGAATAAAAAAAATGCAATATTAGTTTTGTATTTTTAATATATTCACTTAAATATAACAAAAAATATTTTTTAACAGATACAGGAGACGTATAAATAAATAACATAAAATAAAATGTATTTATTCCGTTTCACGCTACGTTTCGCCCGTTACTGAAGCAGCCTCCTTACTCTTCTTTTTTGCCTTCTTTTTCTTCTTCTTTTTACTCGGATCTTTCTGTTTCGTCATGTCGTTATATTTCAACAGTCTCTTGTACATTTTTAATAGTTGCTTAGCGTCTTTCTTCATTTCTCTTGTGACTTGGGGCGATTGTTCATTCTCTTCTTTGTTTATGGCAATCTCTTCATTATTGTGATCTACTGGTTTGCCTTTAGGTTCGACACTCACAGGATCCACGTATTTGGTTGATCCTTGCAATGTATTAAAGTGTTCTATAGTGCCTTCTACAACGTTTGATACATCAGCGTTTGTATCATCAGCGGGTGGGTTTTCTATCTCTGTCTCTTTAACTTCCTCTCTCTTTTTAGCTTCTTCCATCTTCCTTTTCAATTCCTTGTTCTTTTTCCTTAAAGCGTTAAATATACTGGACGTGCTCAGAACTTTTTTCACTTTCTGACTATCTAAGTATCGGTCCTTCCATGAAATATTCTCTAAATCTTCCTCTGGCACCCGCTCGCCGTTTTCCTCTATCTCTCTCATTTCATGTTCGCGTATCTCTTCTTCAGTGACTACGTCCTCTCTTTCTATTTGGTCTATTTTGGCGGAGAGAGCTTCTATTTCTTCCGCAGTCGGTTCCTTTGAAAGCACAGTACCTTCGACTTCGTAACACGACGAATCGTCTGACAATTCGAGAATTTCGTATACATCGTCATAATTATCACTAGCGACATCAATTTTTACGATATTAGCGTCATCTGTGTCTGTATTTTTGACATTCGTGCCGTCTTTATCAGTTTCTTTAAAGAAGTTTTGGTCACCGCTCTCCCGAAAATCCGACTTTGACTTTTTCGCTTTCTTCTCTTTCTTACTTTTCTTCTCTTTCTTCTTTTTCTTCTTCTGGCTCTTCTTATCTGTTTCGTCGTCGGAAATGCACACTACTTCGGGTTGTAGTTCTATCGCTTCGATTTCCGAGCTAGCCCTTTCTGACAATTCACCATCTGACAGATTTTTGGTTTCTCTTGTGATTGATTCTGTCACCGTTTCGTAAGTCAATGTTTCTTCTGCATCTGCTTTGTTTTCGTCAAAGTTTGATTTTTGAAAAACAACAATACTGTCGGGTGTTTTCTCTTTTTCTACAGTTACAGATTCCTCTGTCTCATTATTATTTGATGTTTGACTACTTCCATTTGTTGATTCTGTGTCAATAACAGGTATATCTTTTACACTAGACACTTCAATTACATTGTCAGTGTCATTTTCATGATCATCTTCTATTTTATTAGTGTTCTGTGACGTTTTTTTATCTGTGCACGATGTTTCTACACTAATACTATTGCTTCGTTGGACTGAGCTATCACATTTATGACTATCGATTGTTTTATTCGTATTTTTTGGCGTATTTTCATCTGTACAAGATGTTTCTTCACCAATACTCTTGCTTTGTGTGATCGAGTCATCACATTTATCTTTTTCAATAACTATTTCAACATCTTCCGTTAAAGTTGTATCTGTTTGGACTTTATTAACCTCACAATTTTCGTTTTCACTCATATCAACCTCATGTTCTTTATCATTAACTACTGCATTAACAACTAAATTAGATTCACTAATTGCATTTTCTTTTGACGATTCTATAACTGTAGCCTTTTGTGGTTCTTTTTCTTCAGAAATTTTGTCTACTTTTTCATTTTCCGTTTTGTCTTCTTTAGTATCACTATCAGAATCGGAACTACTGCTTTCAGAATCTTCTGAACTGGAACTGGACAACGTATCAAAGTTCTTTCTGTCTAAATCTTCTAGAAGATCCATTTTCTCTGTGTCAGACAGTTGCAATGTTATCTCATCGTGGTCGCTGCCTTCTTTCTCGTCATTTTTCTTTTTGCCTTTCTTTTTCCCTTTCTTCTTTTGTTTGTCTTTGGATACATCTTCGACAGCAGTGATTTTTGATAGTTTCGTTGTAACTACGGGTTCTTTAGGTTTAACGGATGGCTTTATAACGTCTTTATTTATAGAAGCAATTTTATTAACACTAGTTACAGTATTTTCTATTTTTTTATCAGAGTTAGTAATTGTCGCTACAGCTTTGTTGCGGTTGAGTTTGATCTTTCTAGTTTGCTTTGTCTGTGGTACTGTTATGATGAGGTCGTTGATTCTTTTAGTTACTGTTTGGTTCTCGTTGGCTGTTTTCGCTTGCTTGGCGATGTTTTCTGTGGCAAAAGAAAACGGTTTCAATGAGTATCTATTGATATTCATATTCTTTATTGTATATAATACAGATTTTTCTTTGTTAAACCACTGAACTTGTTTAATTTTCTGAGGATTGCACATGCAGAGCAACGGGACACAGAACGGAAGAGAGCGATGTCGCCACCACTAAAATTTTAATATGCATTGACCTGTATGGCCATAAAAAAACTTATAAAAATTACTTTTAAATTGATGTTGGATATTAATGAAACAGTGCGTAAATTTAACTCCTTCTTACAACCTGGGATCCTTTAAAAGAGGAGTGAAGAAGCAACATGCAGGCCGGCAGGGTGAGGATGGCTGGTGTGGCAGTACAACTGCTGTATCAGCTATCCTCACGTCTGGGCTTCACCGTCACTTAACATCAGGTGGGGCAGAGTCATTTGTCAGACCTATCTATAAAAAAAATTGTGACTATGGCATTATAGTCGTCTACTCGTTTGTAATAACCAACTTGCCGCACTAATACCATAAATAACTACATATTACTTTCAGATACTAGATTCATTATTCGATCTACAGCCGCTTTACTAAAATCGACCTTAACACTAAGTGCACAAAGTCCACTTTTGCTTACCATCAGGGCTGATTCGTTCAACTTTTGGTTTATCTTCATCGCTGCTGATCTCCACAACTTCAGCGGGTTCTTCCTTAATCTCTACGTCCCCGTCGTCGTGGTCGGAGTCGCGTTGACCAGAATCTGGTACGGATTCTTGTAGCTCTGCGTAAAAAATGAAATAATTACTTCATTTTATCAGCGTATTGATGTCCTCACTGCTGGGGCACAGGATAGCCTTCCCTATAGATGGAATAGGGAAATTAGGCCGTGACCCATCACCGTGGGTTTGCGAACTGATGGCGGAGCTTCTTAACTTTCACAAATGGGTTATTTCACTCTACTTGAGCAAAAATCTATAAATTTTAGTTGTCAAAAAATAGGGGTTGGTGGTAGAAGGGTGGAAATTTAGGGTTGTATGTATTTTTATAAAAAAATATAAACAAAAAAAATTTAATGATGGACCACCATCAACATTTAGTACTAGTAACCTATGGATATATAATAATAATTTACTTTTTCGACACACTTGCTCAAAAATGCATTAACTTAGATTGTATACATCGTTCGAATGTTCAAAATTACGGGGCATACAACGGAGCGTGCGGTAAAACATTTTACCGCACGCTCTCATACACGACCCGTGCGTATTCGTTACGGTTTTTTTATTTCGATCAAACCTCCTAGGAAACGCTTTTAATCTATACCTTTGTCTCACTTTAATACTAAAAGGAAAGAAACGAAAGATGTAGTAAAAAATTTAATGATGGACCATCATTAACATTTAGGGTCGGTATATATCTAACGGAATATGCGTCGAGCGTATCATCGTTGTATGCTCGACGCACTAGCGCATCTTCAGTTAGGTGTGAAAGGTTGAATGTTTTATTGTATATTTGCCTGTTCTGGCGTTACGCGACTGATAATACGCGACGTATTTTCGGTCAGATATGTACCGACCCTTAGGGGGACGATCTACTGAATATGCATTTAAAATTTCACGAAAAGCGGTCGAAAATTCTCGACCGCTTTTCGTGTATATATTAGATTGCGATAGTTTAGGCGAAAAGAAGTTTTATTTCATAAAATAACAAAATGCATTTTAAAATTAAATTCAGAGTTTACAGTTTTTTATCTATTTTAAAACTAGTATATAAAAACGCACGCACACATACACCGGCTACATGAACATTATTAAATATTGTTTAATTAGAAAATAAAAATAAACTACTTATGGAAGAGCGGCGTCCCCTGACACAGGCTTTTTAGCTTAACAGAGGACCCCGATCACTGAAAATTTTTGTACAAAAATTGTTAAGAAGAAATAAAGATTATTATTATTATTATTATATATATTATATTATTATATGCCAAAGTGTCAGCCGTCAACTCGCTACTTTTGATGTTTTCGTAACCAAGGTTACGCATTTGTTTACAATACTAATGACGTCAAGACCGCAGAGCAATATAGAGTCCACTGCATCCAGTTGCGTTTTCGTTTAACGAGGCGCGAAAATTGATTTCAACGGCTATTACTCTTAAACTAAAATATCTAAATAAATAAAGTTCGTGCAGTAACCCGTTAAAACTAGTTTTATTTAATGAGTGATGTGAGTGAAAACCTAAGAAACTAAAATATCTATCTGAACCGTTAAAGTTTTCCTTAAAAGTTCATTAAAAGCACTATTATCATGAATTTTTCCAGATTTTTCAAGACCATTGTTAAGCTTTCAGAGGGGGAGGGGGGGGGGGGGGGGCTACTAAAACAAAAATTAGTAATTTCGCAAATGGATCCCTAAATCGAAAAATAGTCTTAGAAACCCCTAAGTAATTTCAAATAGATTCCCGTGCAAGTTACGACAATATGCGGAAATTTCCGACTTAAACATCTAAATCTTTTGATTGCTTCGGCTTAGAAGTTTGGTTTCTTCACAGCTCCAAGGGACAGTAGACCTGAGTATTAGATATGAATTTCAGTTTGATACCTCCACGCGTTCGGAAGAAAAACAGTCTTGACAGACGGACGGACGGACAACAAAGTGATCCTATAAGGTTTCCGTTTTTTTCCTTTTGAGGTACGGAACAAATAAAAATGATATTTGATTTGATACTGACTATGTTGCTGGTCCTGCTGCAGTTGAGCCCTTATAGCCCTGGCCCGGGCCTGCAGCTCCAGTAACTCTAGCACGGTGAGGCCGGCTCGGGAGGCCTTCATCTCCCCGCTGTCCTCCTTGGCGTCCCTGCTCTTACCCTTCTTGGATCTGGAGCCGTGCTTGTGTTTGCGCTACACAATTAAACAATAAATTTCACAAACTGACATCCGGGAAGTTACTAATTTCGAAGACGTAGAATTAATAATAATAATCTTTATTTGCAATCAATCATGGTATTACAGATGTAAAATTAAGACACAGCCCTAAGCGTGTTGAGCCAATAGGATTGCATGCAAATGTCATACATTATTTAATTAAAAAATACCAAAGTCATCTTGGAGATAATACAAGATAAGAGAGTTTTTGTCCGATTGTATCCTTTAAAAATTGCTGACAAAATTGTCTCTAGTGAACTTTTGCAAAATACTTTATTTTTTAAAGTGACCTTTAAAAAACACTTTGTTCATCTTTAGCAAGTCTTATTAAATTTTTGATTGTTACTTAAAAAATCAGACTTTATCGCCAAACATTGCAGGTTTAGCGGTAGAAAGCGCCCATGCTAAAGCAGGCTGGGTTTGAATCCCAGCTGAAGGACTTTTTATATTAATGATTTTTTAAGTTTATTAAATCAAATTAATTTTTTACTATAATTATTTTTTAATAATAGTTTTTTTTATCAATGTAAAGACTTTCTAACACTCTGTGCTCTTTATCCACTAAAAGCCAAAGATTTAAAAGTTAAACTTTAAAGATATACCTACTTTCTTACTCTTCTTGCTGCTGGACTGGCTCAGGATCTCATCGTCCGAAGATATGCTGTCCAGCGATATGGTCTCCAGCCGCTCTGGGGACTGTGATGCACTGGACGACTCCGTGTCCGAGGGAGGCTCTGCACCGTCCAGGATCGCACACAGCCGTTTAGAACTGATGCCGAGGAGCTGCAAAAGACTTTCAGTTAGTAAAGATCACTGGATAATTATCAAGATAATAAGGTATATCACTCCACTTGAAAAAGAAATCTATATATACAGGTTGTACCTTTTATACATATAGACATCTGCTATATTAGAGAAGTCACAAAAGATTTACCAGTCATTAGCCATTAAGAAAGGATAACACACATTTATGGTATTAATTTAATATAACTTTATATAACCAAAACATCATGGATAAGAATCATAATTCTGTTAGCCAGAGAAATATCCTCAACACAATAAAGGTGAAAATCTTTGTAATTGTATTTGAAATGGTGCATGTAAAATAAAGCACTTGTGTTGGTATTGTTAAATGAAAACTGGAATGGCAAAAAGGTTGTAACAGCTACCTCTTCAGTACACAGCTCCTGGAGATCGTCAATGGACACGTGCAACACGCATTCAGGAGTCATAGCTTTGATGTCTTTATGTTTCAGTACAGAAAACACTTGATGCATGAGCTCTACTCTATCATGTATATAATAAACCAAATCGTAGTCGTCTTTCGGCCGTTCATGCGAAGTTGAAGACTCCGGCTTCTCACTTTTAATGTGATGTTTCTTAACCCGCTTCATTGTTAAAATTATGATTTAAATTCTTTTTATTAGTCAATCAAAACAAACACCATTGGAAATGATTTTATGACAATATGTACAATTTAAAAAGTCACAGGATAATATGGTAATGTTATAAAATTAAGCACCTTTTTTAACTAGCCGGGTTTATAAAGGCTATATCACAGACTATACAGAAGAATGACAGTTCGCTCGCTATTTCATGATGCGTTCAGATTTGTTAAAATTATGGCTAATTATTTTGCACACTTTCGGAGATAAATTAAACTAGAATACTTAACACTTTGGCTTCGTATTACAGAATAACCTTTAAAACTGTTTAAAATAAAAGTGTAACTACAGACAGGTTAATATCCGATTTAAAACTATGCCAGAGAAAATTAAGGTGTCAGATGAAATGTCATTAAGTAATGACTTTTTACAAATGACAAAACATATAAAAATATGTTAATTTTAAATTAATTTTGGTCCATATTTCTACTCTAATGTGTATTATATATTAAACTATAAATTAATACACAACTTCACGTGAAGATGTCTCGAAAGAAAGCAAGTGTTTTGTCAATCAAAGTTTAATCAAAGCTTTGATGAATATGAATCAAAGTAGTTACTCTGAATTCACTTTGCTATTATCTTGAAAATATCACGAAAGAAAAAAAGAACATTAATAACATAAAGTATAAAATTTAAGTAAACTGTACACATCCATAAGTGGTTTATGAATTTCTTCCAAGATGACGGTGGAAAAGCTTTATGAAAGTGATAGTTTTTTAGTTGTAAATAAGCCTTTCGACATGTATATAAACTCAGACGATGAAAACGAAAAGGTAAGGCTTTGATTTTGTCTAATAATCCAGTAGTTAACAAAAATTTTTACTCATTTTGAGGTTACTTGTTTGTTTCGTAAACAAATAACGCTATAGTGCTTCCTTGTGTCGATAAAAGGGGACGGATTTTTATCGATATTACCTCAAATTTTATCAACACTCAATATTAATATTTTAATCCTAATAACATTATGAATGTGAAAGTTTATAAGTTTGTTACCCAATCATAAAAACAACAACTCAACCAATTTGTATTAAATTAGGCACGCATATAGTTTTTAACCTGGACTGCTGGACTGAGACATATTTTTATCCTGGAAAAATGTTAGGTTCATCATCCTATTGGCCCGACTGCTGGGGCACGGGCCTTCCATATGGATAGAATAGGGAAATTAGGCGGTGATCCACCACACGGTCCTATTGCTGATTGATGGGTGTTAACGACAACAAATGCAGCCGGGACCAACGGCTCAATGTGCCTTCCGAAGCACTTCCGAAACCCTATGGGTAACTTTGGTGTTTTTGAATCAGTGATGGAGAATGTTCCCAAAAAGTCAAAATCGATAAATAAATTCTCGGAAGTATGTGGGAATTTTAATTAAAAGCTTTGTGAATTGTACCACTTAAGGAAATACAATGCATCGTTGATTGCATTAAACATTACACAAAAAAAATCAAAAAGGTTTGTGCTACGGCTAAATCAACTTACATTAAAATAAAATCATTACTTCTAGTAAAAAAAATCAAAACTACTCATCGGCGCTTGCTAAGACTTTGCTCGAGACGTGTGTGCCTCGGTATAATGCCTCGTTTACGTTTAGACGTGTTGAATTCATGGATATTATCAAAAGTTTTATAAATCACTTAAAAAGAAAAATACTCGTGATTTATGGGGAATATCTATACAAATTGTTAATGGCATTTTTGGGGGATAAAGCCGAGCGCGTCCGTGGGCTTTAGCTCTAGATACCCACACGTGTCCCCTGGGTAGCGCCAAATGCTCGGCACATCACCGGTGGTAGGTTTCGACCGTGGCTGGTAACCACCCTCTAGGCAAAGCCGAGCCGCCAAACGACTTTCATCGTGTTTCGGCTCGATGCCTGGTGTTGCCGTTTTTAGGGGGGGAGTCCGAGCAGTTGCGATGTATAGCTTGCCGGCTTCGCTGTTGCGTGATTGCTGCGCTGGGTGGCTGATCGCGGAGGGTAGCGGGATCCTAAGCACGGTTCTCCGCTGGCCGACCGCAGGTAGTAGGGGGCCCAAGTAGTAGGAAAGCCACCTACGAAAGGCTGCCCCGCCAACTCGCGAAAAATCCCAAGGTGCGCCATCGTGCCGGTTGGCGACCGGATGCGAGGGCCCGATGGACACTTTTGGGGGGGTTAGGGCGTCCCCGCGCGCTCCAGCTCAGTCACCCGTCAGTGTGGCGTCATAACTGCATCGCTTGGCAGTAGCTTAGCAGAGTCTCGCTCATCTGTCCCCTTCCTGCCTGTTCACTCTCTACTTATGAAAAAAAAATATGAACGTCAAAAGAAAGAAACTGGTGAAACAGCGGATGCACTCCCTCGCACTAAAAGTGCACCTTGCTAACGTCCGAGGATTGCACTCAAATATCGATAGTGTCCATCACCACCTTGAGACCGATAAACCACATCTGCTGTTCCTCACGGAGACTCAAATAAGATGCCCGACTGACGCAGCTTACTTGCATTACCCAGGTTACATCCTGGAGCACAATTTTAAATCGCGCGCTGGCACCTGCGTGTATGCTCGTGATGACATCTGCTGCCAACGTCTCCGCAACCTTGAGGATCCCAGTTTCTCTACATTATGGGTGCTGGTGAACACAGGTATAGAGCAAATACTCTATGCCAGTGTTTATCGGTCGCACACAGAGAACATGGAGACAACCAGGTTTTTTCAGTACCTCAGCGCCTCCGCTGAAACAGCCCAGCAAAGGTACCCGAGTGCGCAGCTAGTCGTTCTGGGGGACTTTAACGCACACCACCATGAGTGGTTGTTCCCGTTCCAGAAAACCGACCATGCCGGGAGATTAGCGCACACATTTGCTATGTCGCTAGGTCTCTCCCAGCTTGTGAAGGGCGCTACACGTGTACCCGATATTGATAGCCACACACCAAACTGCCTGGACCTTCTGCTGTCAACAGACCCGGACCGTTACCAGGTGGTAATTTCGTCTCCTCTAGGGAGTTCCGACCACTGTCTGGTGAAGTCCGTATCAGTCTACTCTCCAAGCGACCCGGAACCTATCGGAACTAGGCGTGTTTGGCGATATGGTTCAGCAGACTGGGATGAGATGCGGCATTTCTTTGCATCTTATCCTTGGCGTCGCACCTGCTTTTCTTCGGACGACCCGACTTGCTGCGCGGATGCCATTGCTGACGTGGTGCGTCAGGCTATGGAGTACTTTATTCCATATTCTGACGTACCACGCCGGTTTAGCGCCCGCCCTTGGTTTGACGCGGACTGTGCTAAAGCAGAGGCGCTTAAGCATTTTGCGTATCGCTCCTGGGCGGATGCTCGAGCCCGCAAATCACCAAATGTTCGAAGTCTGAAGAAGGCCTTTAACAGTGCCGCCAAGTCCTGTAAAGGTGTTCTCCGCAAGGCCCGCTTCGATCACATTGGCCGTATAGGAGCCAAATTAGCCTCCTTTCCATCCGGAAGCAAGGCTTTCTGGTCCCTAGCCAAAACAGTCGAAGCCAATTTTTGCCGGTCGTCGCTGCCGCCTTTAATTAAACCTGACGGATCGCTGGCTCACACCTCCAAAGAGAAGGCTGACTTGTTTGCCTCTATATTTGCGAATAACTCACAGCTAGATGCTGCTGGCGTAAACCCACCTAAGCTTCCTCAGTGTTCTTCTGCCATGTTGGAAGTTCGCATCCATCAGAAAGAGGTACTAAAAACGCTAAGCACTCTAGACGTGAATAAAGCCAGTGGGCCCGATGGCATTCCAGCTATTGTCCTGCGGAATTGTGCCCCTGAGTTGTCTCCTATTCTGACTCGCCTATATCGCTTATCCCTTGAGATTGGCCAAGTTCCGAAAACCTGGAAGCTTGCCAATGTCCAACCAGTGCCCAAAAAGGGTAGTCGTGCCGACCCTGCTAACTATCGACCTATTGCAATCACCTCCATACTCTGTAAGATTATGGAGCGTGTATTGAACAACCGTCTCCTCGCTTACCTCGAAGATAACGATCTCCTCAGTGACTGCCAATTCGGTTTCCGCCGTGGGCGATCTACTGGGGGTCTTCTTGTGTATGCTACCCACTTATGGAGTGAAGCCATAGAGAAACGCGCGAAGCTCTCGCCGTTTCTCTTGATATTTCTAAGGCTTTTGACAGGGTCTGGCATGCAAGTCTCATTGGCAAGCTTCCTTCATATGGAATCGCTGTCGGACTTTGCAACTGGATTGCAGATTTTCTGAGGGGCAGATCGATACGAGTGGTCATTAATGGCACATCGTCGGATCTGCTTGGTATTAATGCCGGTGTCCCCCAGGGATCTGTCCTCTCCGCAACTCTATTCTTGCTGCACATCAATGATCTGCTCCTAACTCCTGGTATCTTTGGGTATGCAGATGACAGCACAGTTTCGGGGAGATATCTGCCTGATGTGAAGTCTGATGCAGATGTCCGATCATTAAGGGAGGCGATGGTGGAGGGAGTGAATGCAACCCTGGAAGCTGTTTCCCTCTGGGGTGAAGCCAACTTGGTTGGGTTCAATCCTTCTAAAACACAGGCCTGTCTCTTCTCGACGAAACGGAGTCCATTCCATCTGACTCCGACTTTCCGAAATGTCTCCGTGCCGGTTAAAGACCATCTCGAGCTCTTGGGTATGGACATCTCATCCAGCCTCAATTTCGGTCCCTACATCGAGTCCATTGCTAAAACCGCTGCCAGAAAACTTGGAATACTTTCTAAGGTCAGGCGATATTTTACATCTGAGCAGCTCCTTAACCTTTACCGAGCCCAAGTTCGCTCCTGCTTGGAGTACTGTTGTCACCTTTGGGACGGATCTGCTCGGTATCAGTGGACTCGGTGGAACACCGTGCGAAGAGACTCATAGGCAATGACGCTCTCGTTGAGGCTAATCTTCAGAGCCTCGACCACCGAAGACGTGTAGCTTGCCTTTCGGTGTTTTATCGGTTACATTTCGGAGAGTGTGCGGAGGTATTACATAATTTGATCCCCCCTTCCCCTTTCCACCACCGGACGACCAGGCGCGGCGAGGGCTTCCACCCTTATGTTGTCGAAGTTCCTCCTATTCGCACGAAGCGATTTGCTTCGGCCTTCATTATACGAACGGCTAGGGAGTGGAACTCCTTGCCGAGGTCTGTTTTCCCGGACCAATATAACCTGGACATCTTCAAGGCCAGAGCGAACAGGTATCTTCTAGGCAGGCGTGTACCATCCTAGGCCTCATCATCGCTTTCCATCAGGTGAGATTGTGGTCAAACGCATTGCCTATTTAGCATAAAAAAAAAAAAAATAATAACAGTAATCGCTCTTTATCTTACAGATATGTTTAATTAATGTATAGATGAGGGAGTATTTCCAGACCTCATGAAATAAAGTAAAGTTATACCTCTTTTTAACTTTCACGATCGCAGGCTGAATGAGCTAACCTCTTGCGCTATCAAGCTCCTCAAATACTGATATGGTCTCTTAAATATTTCGTTTACTTTAAATCACCCAGAACACAGTAACTTGCCACATCGCGTCGCCGGACTCCCATCTATCGACGTCCTCATATCCCCTCCACTTCGTGCAGCGCTTGGACTACTCCACGAGCGGTGTGCTGTGCATCGCCAAAACGAAGGGGGCGGCCGCCCGCGCCGGACGTCTCTTTGAGAAGAGAGAGACTAGGAAATATTACTTGGCTGTTGTCAGGGGTCATGTTGAATGTGAGGTTGCTGATATTGAATTCGATGTTGGTAAGTGAAGATTTTTATATATATTATTCGTATATACCAGAAACGTAAAGGGTAATGGATGTTTCATATTCTTCATTGCTTAGTTGGATGCTAAAATAGCTCATTTCAATAGGCTGGTAGTATATATATGCCTGTTGATGAGCAGCCGTCACATACTAGTAGTATCGTAGCATGGGGCTACGAAAAATTATTAAATTTGGAAAAGGTCTACCTTGGGGGATTAAGAGCACAGTCTACAACCTTTTACTGAAGACAGGGTTACAAAATATTATGAATAGTCAGCCCTACATCAATCATCTTTTCTACATCAAGTTATCACAAAATGTATCTCAATGGATTTATTAAAAATCTAAAATGTTTAAATCTAAAGAAAAGCTTACTAGAAAAAAAAAATCCACGCTGACTAGGCAGCGAAGAGATGGCGCTGCCTTGCAGCTTAAGGCTAGGAAAATTTCGACGCGGCGAATAGGGCCGTGGTAGCATAATGGTCAGTGCATTCGCCCGGATTGCGAAGGGTGCGGGTTCGAGTCCCGTCCCCTGCCTGGTCCGCGTGAATTTTTTTTCTAGTAAACTTTTCTTTAGATTTAAACATCTAGCAGTTAAATGCTTAAAAATAAATAAAAACATATCTAAAATGTTTTTTAAAACACCAATTAGCCTAGCCCCAAAGTAAACACTGTAAGGCTTGCGTTATGGGATGTAAGGGTAACCTAAATAAGTATATTTTATTTAGAAATATATATAAATAAATGCCCATGAATTAGGTACAAATTCTCATATTAATCATACTAACATTTAATTGAATGTTTCTGATAGTAATGCTAGATGTTTTGTTTGCAATCATTTAACTGCTAGATGTTTAAATCTGAAGACAATTGTACTGGAAAAAATTCAACGCACCAGGCAGCCGCCGGGACCTCGAACCCGCACCCTCCGCTATCCGGGCGGACGTACTGACCATAATGCTACCGCGGCTCTTATCGTCTTCGTCGAATATTCTCTAGTGTTTCTAAGGCTGCAAGGCAGTGTCACCTCTTCACATTGTAGGTAACTCACAATGCTGCCTGCCTTGCAGCTTAAGAAACACTAGAGAAAATACGTCTGTCCGGATAGCAGAGGGTGCGGGCTGGAGTCCCGTCTGATGCCTGATCCGCGTGGATTTTTGGAGTTTACTCCTTAAGAATCGATTTGCATATATAAGAGGCCCGGTATGAGAAAAATGTGAGGAGTGATATCTATCGATGAATGACCTCGTTACGTTCTAATGTCTACGCTGTAGCAGCCGTAGTGCTACACCGTAGCACAGTATCGTAGCGTACCTTTATTTAGGCACATCTGAAATTGACTATTGTAAAAAGTTTAATGTAAAGGTATATTACCCTAGCGTAACAATTTCATAAGTCCATATCCTAAGGTATATAGTATTTTGTTGCTAATTTGTTGCTATTTTGTGCCGCAAGAATTGATTTTGTTGCTCCATGATTTCTCGGAAAAACGCCAGTTACGCTAGCGTAATATTACGCTAGCGAAACCACAGCGATAACTCGGAGGCAAAAGCAGTTAGAGAGATCAGATGAACGGCATATTTTGTTGCTATTTTGTTGCTGTAAGATAAGCTGGTTAGATATGAAAAAATCCCCCCCCCCTTCATGGGGGGCTAACTACCCTAATTCATAGATATTTCAGATTTTTCGTATCTCGTGAACTAAAGCAGCTAGCGGCACGAGACAAACGGCGTATTTTGTTGCTATTTTGTTGCTGTAAGATAAGCTGGTTAGATATGGAAAAATTCCCCCCCTTCATGGGGGGCTAACTACCCTTATTCTTAGATATTTCAGATTTTTCGTATCTTGTGAACTAAAGCAGCTAGCGACCCGAGACCAACGGCGTATTTTGTTGCTGTTTTGTTGCTATAAGATAGGCATGCTGCGTACATCATAATCACAACCCTTATCGGGCTATGACCTACCCCCGACCCTGAAGTCACCAGATATTTCGTATCTCGTGAACTAAAGCAGCTAGCGGCACGAGACAAACGGCGTATTTTGTTGCTATTTTGTTGCTGTAAGATAAGCTGGTTAGATATGAAAAAATATCATCCCTTCATGAGAGGCTAACTACCCTTATTCTTAGAAATCTCAGATATTTCGTATCTCGTGAGCTAAAGCAGCTAGCGACCCGAGACCAACGGCGTATTTTGTTGCTATTTTGTAGCTATAAGATAGGCATGCTGCGTACATCATAATCACAACCCTTATCGGGCTACGACGTACCCCCGACCCTGAAGACACCAGATATTTCGTATCTCGTGAACTAAAGCAGCTAGCGGCACGAGACAAACGGCGTATTTTGTTGCTATTTTGTTGCTGTAAGATAAGCTGGTTAGATATGAAAAAATATCATCCCTTCATGAGAGGCTAACTACCCTTATTCTTAGAAATCTCAGATATTTGGTATCTCGTGAGTTAAAGCAACTAGCGACCTGACACCAACGGCGTATTTTGTTGCTATAAGATAGGCATGCTGCGTACATCATAATCACAACCCTTATCGGGGTATGACCAACCCCCGACCCCGAAGACACCAGATATTTCGTATCTCGTGAGCTAAAGCAGCTAGCGACCCGACACCAACGGCGTATTTTGTTGCTATTTTGTTGCTATAAGATAGGCATGCTGCGTACATCATAATCACAACCCTTATCGGGCTATGACCTACCCCCGACCCTGAAGACACCAGATATTTCGTATCTCGTGAACTAAAGCAGCTAGCGGCACGAGACAAACGGCGTATTTTGTTGCTATTTTGTTGCTGTAAGATAAGCTGGTTAGATATGAAAAAATATCATCCCTTCATGAGAGGCTAACTACCCTTATTCTTAGAAATCTCAGATATTTCGTATCTCGTGAGCTAAAGCAGCTAGCGACCCGAGACCAACGGCGTATTTTGTTGCTATTTTGTAGCTATAAGATAGGCATGCTGCGTACATCATAATCACAACCCTTATCGGGCTATGACCTACCCCCGACCCTGAAGACACCAGATATTTCGTATCTCGTGAACTAAAGCAGCTAGCGGCACGAGACAAACGCCGTATTTTGTTGCTATAAGGTAGGCATGCTGCGTACATCATAATCACAACCCTTATCGGGGTATGACCAACCCCCGACCTCAAGACACCAGATATTTCGTATCTCTTGAGCTAAAGCAGCTAGCGACCCGAGACCAACGGCGTATTTTGTTGCTTTAAGATAGGCATGCTGCGAACATCATAATCACAACCCTTATCGGGGTATGACCAACCCCCGACCCCAAGACACCAGATATTTCGTATCTCGTGAGCTAAAGCAGCTAGCGACCCTTACAGCAACAAAATAGCAACAAAATACGCCGTTTGTCTCGTGCCGCTAGCTGCTTTAGTTCACGAGATACGAAATATCTGGTGTCTTCAGGGTCGGGGGTAGGTCATAGCCCGATAAGGGTTGTGATTATGATGTACGCAGCATGCCTATCTTATAGCAACAAAATAGCAACAAAATACGCCGTTGGTCTCGGGTCGCTAGCTGCTTTAGCTCACGAGATACGAAATATCTGAGATTTCTATGAATAAGGGTAGTTAGCCTCTCATGAAGGGATGATATTTTTTCATATCTAACCAGCTTATCTTACAGCTACAAAATAGCAACAAAATACGCCGTTTGTCTAGTGCCGCTAGCTGCTTTAGTTCACGAGATACGAAATATCTGGTGTCTTCAGGGTCGGGGGTAGGTCATAGCCCGATAAGGGTTGTGATTATGATGTACGCAGCATGCCTATCTTATAGCTACAAAATAGCAACAAAATACGCCGTTTGTCTCGTGCCGCTAGCTGCTTTAGCTCACGAAATACGAAATATCTGAGATTTCTAAGAATAAGGGTAGTTAGCCTCTCATGAAGGGATGATATTTTTTCATATCTAACCAGCTTATCTTACAGCAACAAAATAGCAACAAAATACGCTGTTTGTCTCGTGCCGCTAGCTGCTTTAGTTCACGAGATACGAAATATCTGGTGTCTTCAGGGTCGGGGGTAGGTCATAGCCCGATAAGGGTTGTGATTATGATGTACGCAGCATGCCTATCTTATAGCAACAAAATACGCCGTTTGTCTCGTGCCGCTAGCTGCTTTAGCTCACGAGATACGAAATATCTGAGATTTCTAAGAATAAGGGTAGTTAGCCTCTCATGAAGGGATGATATTTTTTCATATCTAACCAGCTTATCTTACAGCAACAAAATAGCAACAAAATACGCCGTTGGTCTCGGGTCGCTAGCTGCTTTAGCTCACGAGATACGAAATATCTGAGATTTCTAAGAATAAGGGTAGTTAGCCAGCCTCTCATGAAGGGATGATATTTTTTCATATCTAACCAGCTTATCTTACAGCAACAAAATACGCCGTTTGTCTCGTGCCGCTAGCTGCTTTAGTTCATGAGATACGAAATATCTGGTGCCTTCAGGGTCGGGGGTAGGTCATAGCCCGATAAGGGTTGTGATTATGATGTACGCAGCATGCCTATCTTATAGCAACAAAATACGCCGTTGGTCTCGGGTCGCTAGCTGCTTTAGCTCACGAGATACGAAATATCTGGTGTCTTCGGGGTCGGGGGTTGATCATACCCCGATAAGGGTTGTGATTATGATGTACGCAGCATGCCTATCTAATAGCAACAAAATACGCCGTTGGGTTCGGGTCGCTAGCTGCTTTAGCTCACGAGATACGAATTATCTGGTGTCTTGAGGTCGGGGGTTGGTCATACCCCGATAAGGGTTGTGATTATGATGTACGCAGCATGCCTACCTTATAGCAACAAAATACGGCGTTTGTCTCGTGCCGCTAGCTGCTTTAGTTCACAAGATACGAAAAATCTGAAATATCTAAGAATAAGGGTAGTTAGCCCCCCATGAAGGGGGGGAATTTTTCCATATCTAACCAGCTTATCTTACAGCAACAAAATAGCA